GATTTGTATGGTTCAACTACACAAATTGAATAGGGCAGCTTTTCGGAAACCCAAAACCACAAAAAGATAATATCAATTTAAAGCTAATATCAAACTAAAGATTATTAGATCTATAATTAGTTTTTACTAATTTAAAATGAGCTTAAGTTCTACTAAAAAATAAAACTTAATATAGTTAATTAAATTTAATAAGGACCAATAAAAACAAAGTTTAACAAAAAATTATTAATTTAAATATAGTTTAATTAATTTAAAATAAATTTAAGCTCCATTTAAAAATGGGAAAAATTATAAAAACCTCCTTGCGTTTTCTAATAATCCTATAAAACTCCCTTGTGTATTTTTTTCACTTAAAAGAACTCCCTTGTGTATTGACCTTAACAAAAGCCACCACTATGGTTTTGAAAAAAGGTGCAAATAAAAAATGTTGATGTTGTAAGTGTCATGGACTCCAATCTATTGGTCATGTCTCTAAAGGTCCAAAGAGAACGACAGTGGTGGAGAGAAAGAGGGGACGAAGAAGGTTAGGGCTACAGTGAGTGGTATCTTGTCTGGGAGGAAGGTTATCTCCCCTTCTTTTTTGTTGAGGGGATCCCAAAGTTATAAAGAGAAACGTTTGAATAAAGACTCTTCTCATAAGGAAATAGGATCAAGATTCTCTAGTCTTTATTGGGTAAATTATGTTGAGGTTTTGCCACGTGTCTAGTGAGGATTTTATGGGATTAGGATTTCCTCTTTCCCTTATGATTCTCACATCTACGTCTTGTTTACGACCCTTTGAAAGTTTGCTCGCAACCATGTGCTAGGAACACCAACCCTTTTACGATGCTAATGTATCTGGATGACTTGGTTGTTGCGATGAAGTGAGTCATCATAACTAATCACAATGAACATGGAAGCATATTTCATCTACTGTGATCATAACTAGTTGTGGGTGGTGCTTTTAGCCCATCATTGACACAAGTGGTTTGTATTTGTTGTTCTAAAGCAATTTTCAACCACCAAGAGCATCCACTACAATGTTTGTCTGTCAAACCATTAATCAACATAATGTTTATCACCAGTGTTCCGCTGGTTTTCTTTGTGTCATCGCATCTCTCATCGCAAGGCTAATCTCTCATGTCCTGTGGTTCAAGATCCTCATCACAATCTCTGTGATGCTAAGCTATATGTACTTATAATTAGCCTCTTTGCTTATTGATAGAAATATTTCTGTTAATAAGCAAAATTACATCTCTATTTTCTATTGGAAATGGGTCTGGTAATTTTGTGCGTATATATCTTTTGGAGTTGGGGTTTGGGATAGCTGATTCTCTACGGGCACTTCTTTGAAAGTGGTATGTAAGTGGGAGAGGGGTGTAAGTAAGGTTATTTAGGTTGTTGTTGTCAGGTTGGATTATCGGCTCTATGCATTCCATTGACTATATTGTTAATGCACATGCAAGTGGCACAGGGCAGATGAATTTTGTGTACTACTATTCTTCACATTCTTTATTAATTATCCCCCATGTTTATTCATAGAGGTGTTCTATTAAGAAGCATATGTTGTGAGGTTAATGTGATTGATGTGTTGTTGGTAGGTTTCTAAAATTACTAAGGCTCGAAGATAGTTTTTTAAAGATTAGGACATTGCATTTTGGTGAGTGAAGTGTTCAATGGGGAAGGCATGGTATGAAGATAGTGTAATAGAAACCCCCCTTTGGTGTGTATGATTTTGGAAGGAACACAATACTGTTTCCACGATGTGATTTGGGCACTTGCTGTAATTTTATTGTTATAATATATTAATAATCTCGTAAGGATAATATCACTGGTTACCCAGGGCTTTAAGCAGTGCTTGGGATTGGTTACCCAGGGCTTTGAAGCAGTGCCTGGGGCTGGTTACCCAGGGCTTTGATGTGGTGTTTGCGGTTGGTTACCTAGGGCTTTGATATTTAATGCCTGGGGCTGGTTACCTAGGGCTTTGAGCCATGCGGGGCTTATTACAACCGGGGTGTTAGCCCAGAGGTGGTGCTCAAGACTAGTTTTCTCAGGCTTGTAATGAATAAGTTGTGCTTGTGATAAGGCTTGTTGCTTAAGACTTCTATGTGATGCTAGAAGAAACAAGTTAACAAGTTATAGGATATGCGATGAATGGATAAACATTTGCTTAAAACTAATTTTAAAATCCCTAAATGAATTTTGGATCGTTCATTTTCATGAAGTAAAGAATAGGGCTGTTTAGAAGATGTTATAAACCAACCAAACCAGATTGACTCAATCCAAGATGGTTGGTTTCTAAAATGGTTCAGCTGGTCTTGGTTTAAAAAATGGCAAAACCTAATGTCCTGGTTTGGTTGCAGTTATGCTCTTTGTAACTTGATGTGAAACCAACCCGAGCATACATACACATATTTGCCTTTTGTATTTCATATATCTCATATTGTTTTTTGTTTCTTTTACTTTTGATCGACAACCGCTACTTTCTAATCATCTTCATCTATTTTCACAGAAAGTAAAATCTGACTGACAAAAAATAAATATAGGGACTAATAAAAAAGTAAAAAGTTGTGAGTCTATTCATAGGAGTGAAAACTGAAGAGAAAAATGCCCTTACTCCTCATTAAATCGATGTTAAATAAATATACGAACTCACAAAAAAGTAAAAAGTTGTGAGTCTATTCCTAGGAGTGAAAACCAAAAAGTATTCCTCATTAAACCGATGTTAAATAAATATAGGGACTGACTAACAGTCAATTAGCCAACTCCAAGTGGTCATAAATGTTGGGAGCATATAGGTATAGGTTGGACCCATCGACCTTTTAGGCTACAAGTTAATTCAGTTTAACTAAAATCGGTTAACGCAATGTTAAATATAATGAAATTTGAAATCGGTTTTCTCTCTTTATTGGTTGGCCTCAAAGTCAACCCGACTTTTTTGGTTCGGTTGACAAAATTGAATGCAACTGAACCAAACCAATTCATGAACAACTCTAGTAAAGAAGACCTATATTTTGAAAGCATGTTCTGAAAAACGATGGTGAAACATAATGTTGCAACTAGATGTTGAAGTGATGGCACGATTTAGGAGATGGTGCTAAAGGTATGTTTTGAAAATAGTTATATAACAAAAGATACCATACTAAAATAACGTGTTTTAAAAATGATTTTGAAAAAAAAAAAGATAGTTCTTTATTAAAATGCCAAAATCATGGGTGTTTCATTTGGTTGGTTGAAAAAAGACTGTAATAAAATGCTAGGGACAAGTAATCTTTCATGCGATGTATGTATGTATGTATGTATATAATAGGACAACCCATGATTGATGCGTGGATGGGGTTGGGCAAGTGGGCCATAGTAGGGTTTCAGGTAATCCCCCTTTTTTTTATACTAATATCAAAACTTAGGGTTTGCTCGTTTCCTCCTAACTCTGATCTCTTATGAGGAATTTTTTAACTTTAAGAGAAAAATGGTTGTTCGTTTCCTCTTATCTCTTATATCTTAAAGTGCAATCATACAACTTTTTGTTTTTCAATGATACTTCCAAAAAGATAAACAAAAAATATCATATATGGGGTCAAAATGGATATTTGATAATTTTCAGAATTCAGAACAACATTTTTTGCATTCAGAGTTCACTGGGAAGAAAAGTTCAGCAATACCAATATACCTCTTAATATAATTATTGCACTTTCGGATGTCAGATTTTGGAGAAAACGAACAGACCCTTACTATATATACTTATGCAAGCATAGTAGATTTTAAAAGGATATGTTGTGCATAAACAAGAGTAAGAAGAAGAAGAAGGTGATAGTTCCAATTATATCGGATGTCTCCAAAGAGATCTGAAATGCAAGTTATTCGCACAATTAGGTTTTAGTTTAAATTTCATATTAAGGACCATATACTGAGGTCGTGAATCTGATAATGAACTTTCCTAGTTTTTGCGGAATAGCTCTTGAGCACCAATGGAATCGAGAATCGTGAGGGATGTTTTGCGATTCTGACATTCACAACTAAAGAGAGCGATCCAAAACAATGGGTTCAATCTAAATTCACTTTGAACTGATTAATTAAACTTAACCTATAAATAATACTTCAATTCGACTTAGATGGACAACACTTAATTGGAAATGTCACAGACCTCCGTTCCCAATTTTGCTTCCAGTATTCTATTAATTATTCTTGTTTCAAGAATTAGCTGCGTGGTGCATCGTGAATCGTGATTAGCCCGTATTACTGGCACAAAAATTGACAGTTCTGATTTTTGGGAACACCGTATCTCTCACGCGTACACATCTAATGTCCTTTTGCTTTATAAAAGTCAAAAAGGGATCAAGGACCAAATCAATGGTGATCGGTGAGAGTACAAATTCCAATCTTCTGCGGGAACCGGACGAAAATCGACAAAATCACGACGCATCACATCAGTCAGTTGATGCATGGGACCCACGCGTAAGAAGTTGTCATGATTGGCTCAGTATTACAAGTAGTGGTGGGACTGATGGTTATCTACCATGTGGCAAGATTGGCGGCCCATTACCCCAAATTGCTGTATCACTTATCAGTGAGTAGAGCTCGAAATAGAATAAGTGACACGTGTCATTTAAAATTAGCAAACTTCGTAGAAAAGTGATAATTAAAGTGGAACTCTGACGTGGTATTGGCCATCCACTTGTCCATATCTCATTGTCTAGACTCTCTAAAAAAATCAACGGTTGGTGGCCTCTAGGTACAACGAACCTAGAATTCTATTATCTGATGGGCTGTATTCATCGTGTATTTGAGGTACAAGAATGACAAATAAATTTTCGACACGTGTACATGATGACGACATCACTACCATGAAAACCTCCTTTATCATCTGATCCCTGTATCTTGGTTGAAAGTAGAATCTGTTGGTTGTGATATCATAACTAATGTCCTGAAGGGTCACACCTGTCAACACATGTACACATCATGGTCGGACCGTTGGGGCTCTAGATTTTCCCATCTTTTGTCCGTTGGACCGTGTCAGCGCATAAAGACACGGAAAACCGCGCCTGAAACGCTGAAAGCAGCCAAACGAAACGGCTTTTCTTCTCCTTCAAGTTTTCCGAGTCCAAAACCTCCCAGTTCGACTGGTTTTGATTTGATTCGAGCCGCGTAACTAATAATCGAATCCGCTTTCGACTTCGGCGGCAGAATCAACCTCTTCTCCACCTCCTGGTCCACTTGACAGTTTCGGGTTTCGCTTTCTAACGTCTACTGCCCGTCCGCCGCGTAGAACTGGTCGTTCTCTGTTTTCTGTCGCCGTCGTCATCTCTGTAATCGTTTCCGTCAGAAGACAAACGGAGGTATCAGATGTTTCTCCAAGACAGTTACTCTAATGGAAGTTACAGTATTTCCTTCCCTTCGTCTCAGAGAGATGTGAATTACAGGTTAGGTTGTCTCTTTCTCTTTGCATCTTTTTTTTGTTCATGAAATGGTAGACTGAATAATCATTTTTGTTGTGTATCTTTTTTAGTCTGTGTTATTGGATGTAAGGTTTGGTGTTGTTATAAAAATGGGTTTCTAATTATTAAGGTTTATTTGCGTTGTACAAGAATTCAGGAACAGAGTCGAAAGATCACTGTTTGATGGAATGATGGTTAAAGTTAAGATCAATGTTGTTATCTCTTTTACTTGCATTGTTTTAACTTTGTTCCTCATGAAATCAAGTTAATTGCAGTGGAAGATCTTTGAAAAAGTGATACATTGGCTAATTGAATGAAATTACTGTACTCTGGAGTGGGCTTGATTGATGATGTCTCTGATATAACATAATTACTGGTGGGGTTGACAGAAAGCGAATTAATTGGTATTTGCAATATTGCGTTTGGATAAGATGAGTGAAATTGAACTCCTTTATAGTTCTATGAAAACTGGTTTTGACCTCCCAAATCACTTCTCTATCTGTTTGGGGGACTTTAGCAACTTTGCCAAATGTTTTCCTTTCATTCCTTTGGGTTATAATTATTCATAGATCAGGATATTTTGGAGTGGTTATACAAAAATAGCTTGATTTTACCACATCACTTGCTTTCGTGTATGTCTGAGGGAGTGGAGTTGGAGACAAGGCTTCTCCTCCTCTTACTTGCATCTGGCCCTAGTTTATTTTTATTTGGCTGTTCCATTTCAGTATTTTCATCAGAGGTGTAGGTGGTTACTTTCTATGTGCAGAAACTGACTGTTTTCCATTTATTATCCAGCTGTGGTTCCTGTGGATATTCCCTGAACCTGAGCTCCTCCAATCGGAACACCTCAAAAATAGGATCAAAATATGGGAAATCCATAAAGAGGGGGATCATATCATTCTTCTCAATTGATGAGAGCAGATTTACTCAGGTTGACGAGCTCCGATGCATGCCCTACTATATCTCCAAGCACTCATGGGGTTTTCTCCGGCGAAGAACCAAGCTCCTCTGTCGTAAATGTGGGAGCCTTGTTGGTCATGCTTATGAAGACAATGCTTTCTCTTACCCATCTGTACCAGATGGATCAGATTCAAGCTCAGGGTATGGGATGTCCTTCTGTAGAAAGTATGATGTCAAAATTCGTTCCCTGCAGCCTTCCTCCTCTGAAGAATCAGGTGTTCCTCTTTTCACATGATGCAGAAGAGCGTCTCTGTCATATATCCATGTTTTGGATAAAGATCCTTCAACCAGGCAAGCAATTGAAGATTGTAGAGATGCCACATCTAGTTTATTTTAGTCTCCTGATTGCTGTTGTCACATAAAAGGCACCCTTGGGGTGGATCTAGTGCACTGGCAAGGTTCTGTTTGGGATGAAATCCTTAATGGGCATCAGCCAGGAGTAGAGGTGTGCATCGGTGTTTGTACTTGGTGTACTTGTATGTTGAATGTCATCAGCAGAAAGAATAGCAAGCATTGGACAAATCTTTTTCAATCAAATGGGTGGTGGTAAGGGCTTTTGTTGTAGTTGAACTTCTTTTGACAATCATGTGAGTGTGTTATGTACAGACATTCAAAATCTTAAAAGTTCTGCTTTTATGTCCATCTTATAAATGATTTAAGAGAAGATAGGAGAAATTGAAGGCAGAGTTTACCACAGACAAGAAGTTGAGGGTTTGTAGACATGGACAGCTGGTTAGGGATGGGAAAGCATTTGTTGCTGTTTGATTGAACTTGTGTTATCACAGACAAGCCTTTTCCTACCAACTTTTTCAAATTAACCATGATTTTAATTGGTCTATTCTTTCAGAGGATGAGAGGAAGAAAAGGTTTTAAGCTTCTTTAGATATGGAAAATCTGGTTCATAAGTTTTACAAATATAAACGTCATTCATGACTTACATGTTTCACTCCCTTCTTCTAGGTTTATTTGTTTATTAATTTATTTTTCCTTTCCACCCTTAGCCTTACTTTGTTTTACTGCAAGAAACACAATTAAAACGATCTAATCAGAAATACCCTGAAATTTTCACATAGGCCCTGTTTGCTTTCCCGTAAGTTACTTACCCAGTAAGTGCATTTACCCATGTTCTTTTGTTTCCTAGGTAAATAAGGCAATGACCGTTTTAACCATAAAAGTCCATTATTAATAGAAGCATTTTTGTCCCATTCAAGTGCTGTCAACTTTTCCCCCAGGTGAGAAAGTTATTTACCCACTTAGGAGATATGTATCACTTACCCTAGGCAAATAAAGTTTTCCTGGTCCCCATATGAATCTGAAAAAAGAACATGGGTTTCATGATCAATGGGAACTAAAATCCTATTAACAAACATTCCCCTCTCTCAAAATCCAAAAACAGAACGCCCCCTCAAGATGAATTATAAATTCTACTGCTACTCCAAAGCATTGCAATTGAGGGGGCTTTCAAATATAGGCTTTGTGCATTTGAAAACATAGAGCATCATGTAATTAGCTGAATTCGATAGCTTTTTTACAGGCTGTGAGACCAATGTTAAAGTATTGATTGGTATCACATTGTATTGTGCATATGAGAATGTCATAGGGGTATTGAAGGTCACTGGTACTCAAAATTCCGAGAGTTCAGAGGTTTTCAATGTTTCGGATATTAGAAATCATCCCCAATAAGCCATCTGTCAATTATCAGGCTGAAAAAATTAAAATAGTTAGAACTTAGAAGTCCTCTAGGGGATTGAGCATAAGGGTGCTGAGATCTAAGCAGACATTAATTAGTAAGAAGTCTAATATAAGTTCAGAACTTCAGATCAGCAACATCATTCATTTCTAAATTCTAATGTTGGCGGTCAGTCTTGGAAAAGGATCTTAATGCATGTAAATCTTACAATGAAAATGCCCTCATTACAACACGGCTCTTTTGATGGGAGTTCATCCACATTCATAGAAAACTAACATGTTGAATGAAGAAGGTATTCAGATTCAGGTGTGGCGGTGTGGGGTTCACGTGCAAAGCAGTTTACACATCTGTAGATCTGGAAAAGATGGTTTTGGATCTGCAGTTTTGATCTAGGTGCAGACCCTTATTCCACATGCTAAAAGGCTTACTTTCTATCTAGCTTTTTTGCAGTAATGCAAAGTGACACTTTTTCTTTTTTTTTTTTTGGCCGAAAGGGCCATTATGAAAGATCTCATCTCATTCTCAATGGCTTAAACTAAAGAATGCACAAGATCAAATGTAACTTTAACATTGAAGATCAATCATGCACTATGGTTTATTCAGAGAGAACCAATGGGTGATTATGGTGGGATGGATTCAATGGAATATTGGGTTTTTCTTTCTTTCCTTTCTTTATTTGATAAAGTGCTGAGTGTAATTATATTACACGGTGTATGATAAAATCTTAGCCTAACAAGTGTGAGAATGCATTTTATAGTTTAGGAGAAGCCACTTTCTGCTAAACTGCTGGAGGTTACATCTGCATCTCATCCACCCTTCAGAAAGCAATAGACATTTGTTGTACTTGCTCCTTTCTTCATCTCTTCATCTTCTAAGGTTCAAAGTATTAATATGCATTGGTTTTCCAGGTCACCGAAAATGCAAAATAATAGGATACATTAGAACCCCTCCTAGTATATATATCCACTGTTGAAATATTAAACTGAAATAAAATAAGGGTATTGATGTTTGAAAGTTTTTTTTTTTTTTTATGTATCATAAATAGACCTGCTCATAAGCTTGATTTGGGTTTAGCTTTTGCCAAAATTTGAATGGGGCCGGCCCAAAGTCCAAGTCCAAAGCCCGGCCTTGAACAGGTGTAATCGTAAGTATTGATACTTTGAATCAAGTAGATAAAATTAGCCTTTACAATAGACTTTTGTAGTTTATATGGTTTATTAGGTTAACAAAGTTTTTTCTCTCTTTTTTTTTTTCTTGATAAGTATTCTGATAAAGAAAGGTATATTTTGAACTTATTTAATTAATTACCCTTAGAGTCTGATTATGTTTGCATTTATTTAACATGATATCAAGGAATATGCTTTATTTGTTGTCTAAGCAATTTTTCATGACCAACTAATTTTTACCTTAAATTCCTTAAATCACCCATAAATATTCCTTAAATGCATCGTGTACGTCATGTGACAAGTTATGAGGCGAAGCACAAACTGGTTCTTTTCTGATTCAGGTCCCAATTCCGCATTGGTACAGATGAGTGGGATTAACACCGATTAGGATTAGGACCACGTTTCTACCATTGATTGGCATTAAGTGGATTCCAATCTGACGAGTAAAAAGGCGACTTATCATGTAATGGGACCCTCACCAAATGATGACATGGCAAACATGCCAAATCAACCCCACTTTCATACTCCGTTGATCCATGGGAGACCCCTAATCCCAATTGTCCAATCACTTGCATACTTTGTTGATCCATGCAAGAAAGTGGTATCAAAGGTCCTCCGGGGTACTTTACCCGATGTGGGCACACCAATGCTTAAGACAGCGAAGAGTTTTGTAGGGAGCTAGGTTGCTTGTAAATATGAGAATGTGAGAGCTAAATTGCGCCTACCTCTTGAGGGTGTTGATGGTGCCTTTATATAGGTGAGCTTTCGTAGACCTGACGAAACATGTTTGAGATTACTGGCCCACGTAACTCAAAGTCCATTCCGCACCTGAAGATGGACTCTGCGTAAGCTGATAAGCCTTACCTTGTTCCCTCCAATTTGGGTGGGATGAGGATATGGTTTGATGGCGTGCGGCGTGATCTCGAGGATACCAGAGACAATTGGCTCCCTTTTAGAAGGATGATACATGGAACCTCGGCAAATTTAGGGAGCTGTTCGGACCTTGGTCTTGGTTGAGGGACCCAAGGTGACTTGGCCAGTTGAGGTGTCTGGAAATGCTGAGATGTCGCCTAGTCGGCAGGTCGCTCCACATGTCAATGTGTTAACGGGTCAGGCCAAATTACCCCGCATCAATTGCCCCCCACTCCCGAGATTGAGGTAGTCAACTCGGGGCGGGAGTTCATGACAAGTTTGGTGGATTCGGCCCAGTCTCTAGCTTGTCTAAGGTCCAACCTATGGGCTAGACCCGAACGACCCAACTGGCTCAACCTTAAGGGCAAGGTTGCATCTCAAGTAAGTATGGACGTCACGCGGACTATAAATTCTGCGTACGTCAAAAACACGCTCAACCGAACTTGACCTCATAATGGGAGCAAATGCACCCCTGGGAGCCATTGGATTTGATCGATCTAGACCGTTTGTGGTCGGTTATGCCAGCTATAAATAGGGCCCTTGGGGACCCATTTCCTTTGTCCCATTTAAAGCTCTTGCATATTTGGAGGTCGCGGAGCGTGCTGTTCATTGGTGGTGTCTTCATGCCGGTCTTTCTTTCCTTTAGGTAAGTCGTTTCCCTAGCTCTGTTTCATTTCATTTTTTCTCCTTGCTTTCAAGTATATCGGGTAGCGAGTCTAGTGCGGAGAGGGTTGGGTCCAATCAGGTCGAGGAGGGCACCTCTTTACAAAACTAACGAGGTTCCCACAAAAAGTCCTCATCTTCTCGTCGGCCAATTAGGCCTAGAGAACTGGACCACTTCAGTCCTCGACTGTCTGTTGATTCCATCCATGGCCTGGCAACCCGGTATAGGATTCTTGATCCCTTTGGCTATTCACTTCTGGTCGGGGGATTACCTTGGGAGACTGAGGAGAATAAGGTTGCCGTCTTCGAAGAGGTTTGAAAGCCGGTCTCTGATTCTCGCTTCTCCCCTTTATCCCTGAGGTCTTGAATTTTTACAATATTACCCTTAGCCAGTTGCACCCAAACTCCTCCGCACTTTGGTCGGTACAATTTCTCTTTTTCACCAGCTCGGCCTATCTCTAGATATCAAAACTTTCACTAACCTTTGCCAAATCAAGCAAAACCAAGCTAGCAGCTCAGGAAAATTTAGTTATTACTTGTCCTATCAGCATGGGTACATGCTTCTTCACAGGTTCCCATCTAAGGTCTTGGCTTTGGAAGAGCAAGTACTTCTTTGTCACTCTAGCTACCAGGTGGCCTTTACCAACACATTGGAGGAAAGGGAACAAGGACGTCAGGGAAGAACTGAGTGAGCGTATGGAGGTTAGGATGCGAGACCTAGTGGAATGCAACCTGCAACTGAATGACTTCTTAATTGAGGAAAAGCTTATTCAGGCCAGGATGAGTCCTCTAAGTAGGTCGTTACCTTGAGTGTGGGTACTCAACGTTTGTTGCTTTGCTTCATACTAATTTAGTTGACTTTTGGCCTTCTTCCACAGGCAACATGTTGGATATTTTAGCAATGGGGTTCCTTTTTGACATGAAGAAGAATAAGAGGAATAGGAAGATGTCCCATAGAGATACACCTCAGGCAGTAGTTGTTGATCCCATTGCCTCCACTACGACCAAGGAGGTTCCAATCATTAACTTGGTCGAAGACGGTTAGGAGAAGAAGCTGCCGCACCATCCTGAGGTGGCTCCGTCACCCGAGGTGCATCCTCAACGTCCCGAGGACTATTCTACAGGGGAAGTACCCGAGGAGAGACACTCATGGATATCGGGACTTGCCTCTACAAGAGCAGGGATGCCATCTTTCCTGAGGAGGTCTCCAGCATGATTGAGATGCGACCTGCTGAGCTAGGCCCCAAAGTAAT